GGGGCAGACCTGCATCGCGCCCGACTACCTGCTCTGCTCTGTGGAGATGCAGGAGAAGCTGCTCCCTGCCATGACTAAGGCTATCCATGATTTTTATGGCCCCAACCCTCAAGAATCCCCGGATTTTGGCCGCATCGTGGGGGAGAGGCAGTTCCAGAGGGTGAGGAGGCTGCTGGGCAGTGGGCGTGTGGCCATCGGGGGACAGATGGATGAGGAAAAGCGGTACATCGGTGAGGGCTTGGACTTCATACAGGTCTTCATCTTTGCATGGGGCGTATTTGGGTTTTGGAAGTTTCCATGGGAATTGGGTGCTTCGTGACATGTTCTTTCTTGGAGATGGGTCTGAGCAGAGGACCAAGGTATTGTCTCCGATCTCTGTGCCGGGCTGATGCCATCAGGTTTCTTCTCTGCAGCTCCCACAGTCCTGGTGGAGGTGCAGCCCTCAGATCCCATCATGCAGGAGGAGATATTTGGGCCCATCTTGCCTGTCATCACTGTAGCCAACGTGGATGAAGCCATTGACTTCATCAACAGCCGTGAGCGGCCCTTGGCTGTCTATGCCTTCTCCTCTGATGACAAGGTAAGGCTTGGGCTTAAGGCTTACATCTACCCTGTGCTCCTTGGCAGGTGTATCCAGCCATGTTTGTGCTCCAAACATTTCCTTCAGAGCCCTGGTTAGGGGGATGGGTTGCAGCTGGAGGTGTGGGAATGAGGTGGGAGTCCCATGTCTCACCTTCTCTCTTCCCTCCCAGGTGGTGAACAAGGTCCTGGAGCGAACAAGCAGTGGTGGCTTCTGTGGCAATGACACACTGATGCATGTGACGCTGAGCTCCCTGCCCTTCGGTGGGATTGGTAGGTCCAAATCCAGGTGCGACCTGTGGTCAGGAAGGGAGAACTCCAAGCTCCAGAGGGTTCAGTGGTCCATAGGGACATGCTCCTGCAGAAGTCCTTTGCTTCACTGCTCCATGACTGAGTGTTTGGGCTTTGCTGGATGCCTGTGGAGCACTGTGAGGTTCCTTCTGTCCATATTTGCCATCCCAAACTGTGTGGTCCCGGTGTCTGTGGACATGTCTTCTTTAAAACACAGGGAATCAGGGCTTGGAGCAACCTGGGCTAGTGGAAGGTGTCCCTCCACATGACAGGAGGGTGGAACTGGGTAATCTTTAAGGTCTTTTCCAATCCAAACCAGTCTGTGATTCCATAATGGAGACACCTACATTTGGGATGATCTCCATTATCATGTAACACCAGCTCCTGTTTTCCACCTATGTCCTGCTCAGTTGCTCAAGATCCATCAGTGACCTCCCTTCACCCCAGGGCTGTTGATATGTGAGGTACTAAATCCAGCCCAACCCACTGCCCCGACCAAGGTTTGCATTTTATCAGGGAGACTGACAGGTTCAGGCTGACTCAGGAATTTTTATCCTATCTATTATCAGCACATGGATGGAATTCTTTATTTTCTGCCAGTCTGCACAGCTTTCCTGTGCTCACTCCTGGCCAGGTCCCACCTCCCAACATTCCTCCTTGGAGACTGCTCCCACCTTGTCAAAGCCACATTGACTACCATTCTTCTCCACTCCTGGAGTCTTGCCAGCAGTGGGGCTAGAGGCAGCATGGATAAGACATGTTTTGGAGAGTATTCCTGTAGTTGGGAAGCTCAGCCAGTGGACGTATCTTGCCACCCACTCCACTACCACCTCATCATTGATGCCCTTCCAGTCTAAATGGTGAAATCCACTGCCAAGAGGGTTTTGGGAAATCTTTCCACCTCCCAGCCTGGTCTTCCTACTCCAGACATCCATTTGGGTGTGCACTGGGCCATCTCCATGGTGGTCTTTGAGTCTCATTCCTGGGAAGCTCACCCATGGCTTGGAAAGCAGCTGAATGAGATATGGTGCCATTTCTAAGGAGCTGGGAGCTTAATTTAGGGTTATTTGACCCAAACAATGGCCAGATCCTGCCACGCACTGGGGTCCTGTGCTCTGTATTCCAGGGAACAGCGGCCTGGGAATGTACCATGGAAAGTTCACCTTCGACACCTTCTCCCACCACCGTGGCTGCCTGAAACGTGGGATGGGCCGGGAGACCCTCAATGCCCTGCGCTACCCTCCCTACAGCCAGCAGAAATGGGGGATTGTCCGTGCTGCTTCCGAGGTGAAGCGTAAGGATGACTGTACCCTGCTCTGAGTGTCCACATGTCCTGCTCTGAGGGTCCACACATCCCACTTCGAGGGTTCTCCCTACACCACAACGTCTCCTGCCACTGGTACTG